GCTTGTGGGTCATTTGATCTTTGTCAGACCCACTCAGCCATACTGAATAGTCAGTACAGGAGCACATGAGCGTGGCTGTGTTCCAGTCAGACTTGGACAAAATGGGCACTGGCCCAATGATGGTAGTGGACTGACCCCTTCCTGACCTGTTATGACCTGGTTTTTTCCATCGGTTACTGTAACAGTTCTCAAGGACTATCATTTCATTAAATAATAATGTTTAGTTATAGTATTTGACTGAACATGGTAGTTGCTATGTTTTTTACATAGATAACCACATTTAATCTTTCAAAACAATCTTGATAATACTGATGATACTATCACAGATTTATTTATAGAAGTAAAAATGAAGATTTAGAGAGAAGTTAGGTGAGTGACAAGCTGAATGTAAACGCTAATTCAGCATCTCCTTTGTAGGATTTATGCTGTGTTTTATCAAGTAGATGTAAAAGACAGACTATACCCTTTCTAGTCGGCAAAATGATGCTTTGTCTTCACGCTGGTCACAAGCTTATGCTGTGAGACTTGTCAGATAGTGTATTGGAATCAGAATTTCTCATCTTCTGTTTTGGGAGCTTTATAAATAATGTTAGGTTAGGAAGTGGTGCTGTGGCTCAAATGGTAGAGCACTAGCCTTGAGCTGAAGAGTTCAGGGACAGCGCCCAGGCCCAGAGTTCAGGCCCCATGACTGACAAAAGAAAAAAAAGAGGAATGTTAGGTTAATTTGGATGCTCTGTCTTATCTTTTAGAACAGTAGGATCTCAAGGTGACTCAACATTAGTTATGCTTTCAGTACTGATCTATTACCAGTCGTCCCCTGCTTCTGCCAATTCTCAAATTATCCACACTAATTTTGTGGTTAAGTTCTTGAGACCTCTCCCCCAGCCTAATCAACTGCAATATAAATATAGTCCAAGGAGGGGGTTTCTACTTTTGTGTAGAATATGATTTATTTAGTTTGAATTTTTGAACTTTCATTATGAATTTGAGTTTTGTATGACAGTGTTTGTAGTTGCTTTTCAGTTTTCCTTACTTGCCTGTATGGAGAATGTAAAATGTAGTCATCTTTGCTGAAACTTATCTTTAGGACCAGGAGGTGGCAGTGTTTTCCAGGTAATTTAAGGTTACTGTGTATTACAGTTGCTGAATTAAGGGTTTGCAATGCTACTTGTAAGTTGGAAGACCTAAAATAAGGCTGTATATATTCTTGTCCATAAAGAAGGAAGAAAATGTTTTTCAGCATTCAGGTGCATTTTCATAGCTTTTATAGAGAGCTAGAAATGGCATAGTTTTTAACTTTCAAACTTTTCCTTTAGGAGGGAATCTTTGACAGATTAAACTCTTATTAGTCATTTACTTCAGAAACAGAACAAAGCACTTGATTGAACCCTGCCTTAATAAGTAGGCCATGGACAGTGGGCAAGTTATTGATACTTACTTAAATAAAAAAGGAAAATCTATTTTTCTTTTTTTTTTTATTGTAAAGCTACTATACAGAGGGTTACAGTTACATGAGTGAGGTTATGAGTAACATACAACATCAAGACTACCAAGTAGAATGGGAAGAATTAATGCCAGTGACTCATACGTGTAATCCTAGCTGTTCTGTAGGCTGATGGGATCTGAGGATTGCAGTTCAAAGCCACCCTATACAAGAAGGTTTGTGAGACTTTTATCTCCAATTAAGCACCAAATGGTGCTTAAAAGGTAGGCACCTAGGCCCCGAGTTCAAGTCCTAGGTTTGGCACCAGAAAAGAAAAGGAAGTCAGCCTGATGTACCAATCCTCTGGATAGAATACTTTTTTTTTTTTTTTTTTTTAACATTTTGGCAGGTATGAGTGTTTATAAGTGCCTACATAGAGAAAACAAAATGTGCTCATTATCAGACTTAGGCAGTTTTTTCCCACTAAAAACAATGTGGAACTGTAAGTTTATGCTTTATGAAAGTATATATAGTAATGTGTTAAATGGGATTTGCTGTGCTTTATTTTAAATAAACAAGTTTCTTATTAACAGAATTTCTACATATAATCAATCTTATTGTACTTAACTCAGATATTTCTCGATATGCATGCTTAGTGATTATAATTCTATATAGCACTACACACACACACACACATACACACACACACACACATTTTAAATTGAATACTAAACACCAGATGACTTTTTGTACCAAATCTGGAAGAAAATTCTGGTTTACTCATAACTTTGCCAGCCCTGTGTTGCCAGTATAAGTAGGTGCTACATGATTCGTTTAACATTTCCTTCACTACTAAATAAGCTGAAAAAAAATTCTAAAAGCAAATCATTTCTAAATCATTTATACAAAAAATAAAATTTAAATATTTTTATATCAAGGGTATAATGGCCTTTTAAAAAAAGAGCAAAAGTGTAATGTACTAAACATTCAACTTAAATACTTCACAATATAAGAGATTAGAAAAAGTAAAGTATATCAACAGAAGGAAAGAAATGTTTAAACATGGGTTTAAAAAATTCATAGAGATGATTTAAACAAAGTAGAAAAGCCTTACATCAAGATTGAGAGAAGGCCGGGCACCAGTGGCTCACTCACGCCTGTAATCCTAGCTACTCAGGAGGCTGAGATCTGAGGATAGCCGTTCAAAGCCAGCCTGGGCAGGAAAGTCTGTGAGACTCTTATTTCCAATAAACCACTAGAAAACCGGAAGTGGTGCTGTGGCTCAAGCAGTAGAGCACTCGCCTTGAGCTGAAGAGCTCAGGGACAGTGCACAAGCCCAGAGTTCAAGCCCCACGACTGACCAAAAAACAAAAAAAAAGATTGAGAGAAGCACAAATACTGATACTGGTGTTTAAGCATGTTCTATTTGGATCTGCACAAACTTGCAAAAGTACTACGAATCATGATCAATTAAACTACATACACATTTTCTTGAATTTTGTGGTAAAAGGCTTACAGAGATGAAAATGGCTGTTTTCACATTCTTGAACATGGGTAGCATTAGGTTTGCTGCAGATAACAAAAAGCCAACATGAGAGAAATTTCTCTCTCATGCTCATGAGATCCAGAATTAAGTGCAGAGACAATAGGGAGATTCATAGCACAGGACTGAGGCCACGTCTGTCTTAACATTGTCTCATGGCCCTAGATACCTACTTGAGCTCCAGCTCTCATTTCCAAGAGTCCTTGCTGGCTTAGTTTCTCTTTCTAAGCAGACATCCCAGAAAACAGTAACATATTTATGGTATTAGCCAGAACATAGTCATATGGCCATTTTGGCAATACCTGTTGCTAAAGAGTCCAAACACTATAGTGTTTTATTTCTGTCACTGTGTCATTATGAAGGAAGAATAGAGTGAGCAACCAGAAGTTTCTGTCTCATAGTCACTTCATAGTTTTTGTAGCAAAATAGCTGAAAACCTAGTGGTATAACCCATAAGAATTAATAATGAGAAATACCGGATTACTTGTTGTATTTACCTTATCAGTAGTAATGACCATCATCCATCATCATTTTGAGGTGAGGTACTGGGTATGGAATCCAGGACTTCATGCTGTGAGACAAGCTGTCTACCACTGAGCCCCACCTCATACGCTCGGGATACTCTCCACACCACTCTGTAGTTGGCACCATCTGCCCTATGCTACATGTGAAAACACTAAGGCACAGGCCTCGCGGCCACCCTGCTCCATGCCTGTCACAGGAGGATTTGAGGTAGCTCAAATGTACACAAGGAACAGAAAAACAAATTGATACACTGATTAAAGAGAAAATGGGAATGAAGGGGAAAACTTCCCATGAAAGTATGTTTTTAGGAATAATGTAAGCATTTTGCACTGTAAGTACTTGTGAAGGTGTTATTATTTATTTAATGTTAGCCATTTGTAACAGTACTTACATTTGAAACCAGAAAAGATACACAAAATTGATGCACAGAGTTGAATATTACATGCTGCTCTTAAAGAGGTATTTTGTCACTTAGATTTGTCACAAACTAAAATGCAGAAAAGAATTTTTTTTAATTGTGAATTTTTTAATTGCAAATTTTCTTTATGTGGACTCTTGGCATCTTCAGTGTATCATCATATAATTTCACTCATAAAGGAGAATTTTTTACATATTGTGGCTGTAAGGAATCTTGAAGGTTATTATAGTATGTTGTTATTATTTGCTGGTTTGTGTGAGGGGAGAGGTTTAGCTTAGCCAAATTGCCATTGTTTGATTAGTGTGTGTGTGTGTGTGTGTGTGTGTAAATGGGCACACATGTGCATGTATATCCATGCTAGTACTGGTGCTGAAGCCCAAGTTCCAGACACTGTCTCTTAGCTTTTTCACTCAAGGCTAGTGCTCTGCCACTTGAGCCACAGCTTAATTGGAGATAAGAGTCTCAGACTTTCCTGCCCTGGCTGACTTCAAACTGTGATCCTCAGGTGTGAGCCACCAACACTTGGTGCCACTGTTTCAAGTTAAGAAATCAGTTAGTATGCCTGAAATAGAGCAAAGTACTACCTTCCATAGCCACAGCAGGTTGTGTGAGGTGGGTATAATTCTAAAGTCTGGGCATTGTTACTGCTGAGTCCAGCTCCTTAAACGTGGTACATATCAGGTCTCACCATCACTGTGGTATGCCTTGGACATAGAAATATTAAAAATGGGTTGCTAGAGAAGAATCCAGCAAATTCTTGACATGTTGTAAAGGTTATTATTTAAGGAAAGAAAGTTATGTCCAGAGTTTGAACGACTATTACATTGCCCCCTTTAAAGTGACAGTTTTTGTGGAGAAAAGGAACATGATTTAATCCTATAACCTTCAAAAAGAATATAGATTCATTTCATTCTTTAATTTCAAGATGATTTGTGTGAAATAAATAGAACATTCATTTAGTAACTCCATTTTGTTTTATTTCTTAGGATGTGATCTTCGTGGTGGGAAGCTCAATTGTAAACTTTCCCAATGGATGCAGACAGTGATGTTGCTTTGGACATTCTAATTACAAATGTAGTCTGTGTTTTTAGAACAAGATGCCATTTGAACTTAAGGAAGATTGCTTTGGAGGGAGCAAATGTAATTTATAAGCGTGATGTTGGAGTAAGTATGTGCATTTTGGTATGTATGCATACATATGTGGCCTATATAGTGCGGTGAAGGATGCTGCAGTGCGTGTATCTATAGATAGTTTCTGAGGACATATGCTCAGCCCTTGGATGCTACCCCTCATCTTATGGAGGGGGCAGGCTTTGGAAATAATATTGTAAATAATTTATTTCCAAGTTTTAGCAAAGCTCATTAATTATAGAGACATATTGTTCTCTCAATTTCTTTAAACTGAAGCAAGGAACCTTTATGCTTTTGTGTTTGCTTATTCAACTATTGCTACAATAATTTTAGGATGTTTTTAATTATTACTTTTTTTTTGGTCGGTCGTGGGGCTTGAACTCTGCGCTTAGGCGCTGTCCCTCAGCTCTTCATCTCAAGGCGAGCGCTCTACCGCTTGAGCCACGGTACCACTTCCAGTTTTCGAGTGGTTTATTGGAGATAAGAGTCTCATGGACTTTCCTGCCCAGGCTGGCTTTGAACCTCGATCCTCAGATCTCAGCCTCCTCAGTAGCTAGGATTACAGGCGTGAGCCACCAGTCCCCAGCTTATTACATTGTGCTTTAGTCAAGATAGATTTTTTTTTTTATTTATTAACAATAGGTAAAAGTAATATTGTAATATTGTTCATATCTTAACCTAGACATTTTAAATTTAACTTTAGTGTTTTTCAAAACCTTTTTTTTTTTTTTTGTGGAGTAGGGGATCATGAGTTCTTACTAGAAATGAAGTTACAGTTAGTTAAATTCAACTAAAATTTCAGAGATTTAAAGATTTTTAAATTTATTAGTGATACCTTAGTTTTGGGTTTTTTTTTTTTTCTTTTTGTAGGATGAGTTTGAGGCCACCTTGGGCTACCTAGTTAGAGCATGGCTCAAAAATAAAATTGAAGCCAGGTACTGGTGGCTCATGCTTGTAATCCTAGCAACTCGGAAGGCTGGGGTCTAAGGAACATGGTTCAAATATAGCTTAGGCAGGAAGGTCTGTACGACTTAACTTCAATTAACCACTAAGAAGCCAGAAGTAGAGCAGTAGTAGAGTAATCTAGGCCAGCTTTAAGCAAAACAGCTAAGGGACCGTGCCTAGGCCCTTAGTTAAGCCCTCCAGTACTGGCACAGAAAAAGTAAAGTAAAATAAAATCAAATATTTTTTAATGCCTTTCATATATAAGAATCTCAAATAATAACTCCAGCTTTTGCATTTCTCCTGCACTTTGTACTTTGAAAATCATTCCCATTTGGAATTTGTATATATACAGTGGGCATCTCAGCTGTAAGATACGCTATGAGGTAATGACCCATGAGTGTTGTGAATTGAGAATGATGGAGGGATGGGTAGTTTTGGGGCTAGTCAGGGCAGGGTTCTCCATGAAGGTGATGTCTGGTGTCAGCTTGTTGAGGAAGAGTACTCCAGATGACATTAGCAGCAAACACAAAGCTCTTGGTGTGTGAAGACATTTGGCATGTATTAGCACCCATGTAAATTCCATTGGTGTGACTGGAATAAAATGAGAGCTGAAACGTTTAATGTGCCTGTATATTGTTGATTCTTTGTATATAACGAGAGATTTATGTTGATCTCACTTTTAAAAAGTATACTTACTATTATTGTACATAGCTGATATGCTGTCTCAAAGAAAATAAGTCCTTGGGGAATAGAATAATTATGTCTTTGTGTTAAGTATTGAAATTGATTTCAGAATGAGCAATTTAGAGAACAGGTATTTCAACCCTGATAAGCTTGGGGTAAACCTTGGATATTTAACATAGCCACATAAAACAACCATATGGGAAGGTTAACAATGCTTACTAGGTAATCTTTTTTTTCTTTCCAGAAAGTATTAATGAAGCTTAGAAAACCTAGAATTACAGCTACAATTTGGTCCTCAGGAAAAATTATTTGCACTGGAGCAACAAGGTAAACATACTTGGGTTATTAGTTTTTATTTTCTGTATTTCTCCCCATGGAAAGGACATTTTTTGAAATTAAAAAAAAATCATATGTAAACTTTGATGTGTTACTCAGTGTAAGATTTACTTCCTGTATAACTGATCATATTTTTTCTTTCCTGAAAATGTAGTGAAGAAGAAGCTAAATTTGGTGCCAGACGTTTAGCTCGCAGTCTACAGAAGCTAGGTTTTCAGGTAACATTTTCAAAAACTGTCCATACTGAAGTACCCAAAGGTTTACTTGTGTAAAATTCAAAACTTTAATAAATAAAACACAAGAGTTCTTATGATGGAACTTTACCAGGAATTTTTTTTAATTCTGCCCTTGGTGTGAAAACTAACAACATGCCTATGTGATATTTTTAGAAGATCTTATCCTTTCCTCTAAATTATCCCATTAAGTCAATTGCCTGTTCAACAGCTTTAGTTTTTTACATACCTGTCTCTCTCCTCTTATCCCCCATCCCCAATTAAAAATATGCTTGGTCATCATGAGAATGCTGAGTCGGGCTGGTAAGCAGAGTTGCAGACCCTATTGACCTGAACCCTGGGTGGCAGTAAGATGTTGAGTTGACTTGCTGGCCTGGCAGCTTTTCAGTTAAAATTACTGCTTGTGATGAAAGATTTGCTAGGCCATTTGCAGATGAGTTTGTGACCGTGGAAGGTGAGATGTGGCCCTGAAAGAGGTGAGCCAGCCTGTTTGGGATGTGGCAACATTCACAGAAACAGCTATAGGAAATTGTTTATCTGACTTCAATCTCAGAGGTACAAATTCAGAATGAAGTTCCAGTAGAAAGCCGGGCTTTTGGTGTTGACCATTGGTATCAGAGAGCCTTGAGGTGTAGCTCTGTGGGGGTGCTATCTGGCATTTTGCTGGCTTTCTATTGCTTTGTACAAGTACTGAGTTGGAAGGATGGTTAGTTTTCTCCAGAATTCTGGTTTTAGGCAGAATGTTGAAAAGATAATTAGATGAAACAGTTCAGTTATTTGAATGGCTATTAAGAGAACATTTTCAGCCTTGGAGCTTCTTAGGAAAGCATTAAAAGTGTTGAGGAAGGCTCAGTCAGTTAAACACATAGTTTTATCATCCTTACTACAAGGAAAATAAACATTAAATTTACAGAAATGTTGTTTTACCCTATTGAATACAAGAGCAGTATATCACCTTTGAGCCCAATGCACACTCTGTTTATTGACTTTTTTAAATGAGAGCTTTCTGTTTTGTTTATTCAGAAGGAAGACCTGGCTTTGATTTTTTTTTTATTTTTCCCCCACTTTCTCAGTAGTCTAGAATACCCCATTTTAAAGAATTAAAATTAATCTGAATGTAATATTCAAAAGACCTCAGATATTTAGACTTCATTATGCAGTTATAGGCTTTTGCTATTTTCTAATGAAGTGTTTATTTTTTCTATCAAATTATAGCTTTCAGTTAATAATAGACTCCTGCTTAGGATATCTGTTAAGCAGGTTTTTCTTGTTTCAAAATAACTCACTGTGTTTTACTTTTTCTCCCAAAGGTAATTTTTACAGATTTTAAGGTTGTAAATGTCCTGGCAGTTTGTAACATGCCCTTTGAAATTCGTTTGCCAGAATTCACAAAGAACAATAGACCTCATGCCAGGTGGGTCTTTGAAGAATCAATATAAACTTACCAAATTTGAAATTGCCTATCAGCTTTAAATGCATATACTACTTGTACCTTTTTTTTTTAAATATAGTTACGAACCTGAACTTCATCCTGCTGTGTGCTACAGGATAAAGTCTCTAAGAGCTACATTACAGATATTTTCAACAGGAAGTATCACAGTAACAGGTAATCTATGATGGGGAAGCCAAACTTGACCAAACAGATTGAGCTATGTAAGAGATAACCATACCAAAATTGAAACATTGTCTGGTTTGTCCTGTTTTAACAGTATAGATCAGTATTATCTGCTTTTGTGCTGTCTGTACCTACTACTTACTGTGCTTTTTGTCTTGATTTTTCATAGTGAGCTTTGTCTGTGTTGTTCCCTGTCATCCTTACTAGATCAGTCTCTTGGTTTTCCAGTGCTCATTGTGTGAGTGTACTCTCCTTAGATGGTTGAGTAGTTTTCAGTTTTCTCATATATATATATCATCATAGTATACTTTTTTTAAAAATTTAAATTTATATCTTGCATATCTTCCCAAGAGGAACAGATTTACATAAGCAAAAATATTCAACTCTAACTAGTACCTATTTACTATGTATTTATGGCATTGTTTGAATATTCAACTTTTGGGAAGGGTGGTTTCAGAAGATGAATCCTGCATGTCAAAGGGTAGTGTTGACATACAGGGTGATTTGTAAAGTTGCCACGATTATAAATTACACAAAGGCATTGTTTGGGAGTCAGACCCAATGTTATACATACTTGAATTAAGGAAAATATCTTTAGTTATCTTGAATACTTCACATCTTCGAGGAGAATGAAAATATCAACAAGTAAGCCTTAGGATTTTGTTTTATTTTATCTTGATTTTTTTTTTTTTTTGTTTGTGCCAGTACTGGGATTTAAACTCAAGGCCTGGGTACTGAACTGTCCCTAAGCTTTTGCACTCAAGGATACCACTCTGCCAGTTGAGCTACAGCTCTGCTTCTTTTTGGTGGTTATAGATAAGAATTTCACAGACATCCCTGCCCAGGTTGTCTGGCTTCAAACTATGATCCCAAGATCTTGGCCTCCTGAATTATTAAAATTGCATGAATGAGTCTCTGCCACCCAGCCAAGCCTTAGTTTTGACTCATCCTGTGGGTTTTCTCATCTTCCTTGGGGTTCTTGACACCAAATGCCAGGATCCTACATGAATCTTAAGGAACAGGTCTTCACTGTCTTTTGCTTTGCTCTGAGCCAAGATTCTGAGACTCTGACATAGACTTGCTAAATGTAAAATCAAATAGCACACATGTAAAAAATATATTTTGTAGACAAACACCATAACAAACTGAAGACAGTTGACCTAGTAAACTACTATGTAGCTACAGTGGTTAACTATAATAGAACTATAGAAATATAGTAGTTAACTATTATACGTCTGAAATATCAGATGAAATGTGAATGTGCAATCACTGGGCCTTTCTATGTGCTATTCTATGTGGAGGGATTAAAATGAGTTAGAATGGAACAAACCAAGACACAGGATATGTTCATTACCTTCAAAGTTTACAGTGAGTGAATACATAAGTTTTCATGGTCTTCTAAAGAGGCCAGTTGCATTAGTGAAACCATTTTTGTTATTTATATTTACTCTTACTGTTTTGTGGTGCTGGGAATAGAATCTAGGCCAAACAGAGAAGTGCTCTGGTAATCTATCACAGAGCTACATCCACAACCATGAAGCAGTTTTTATTCAAAATTTATGAAAATATTTTTTTCAGTGTTTTTAAACATTTGTCCTTGCTTAAATATTACATTTTTCAAGGTTTCTCAAGAGTTCTACGGATTAATAGACAACATTGCCTCATTGCTTGTGTTTTCCCATCCACACTGACTTTGGAAGAGCTTAGGGGTAACTGTCCACTTAGCGGTAGACACATGGGTGCCATGTGGTGGGAAATAAGAGGGGAAGTTAGGTCATTTAGTGTAAGACATTTGACAGCAGCTTTGTTTCATTCCACTGAGTTTCACCATACTTCAGTGATCCTCAGTTGTCTAACCAGCAGACGATTACCAAAAGGATAGTGGGCATCTGGTTCCATTTGTTATTCTCTCCATGCTCCTAAGGTCTTTGATTCTCCTCTTTGATGATGTAATTTTTATAGGCTTTGCTTTCATACTGGTGCCCTAAAAATAAATCACTTTATGCTTCAGACTCTACATTGTCCAGAGAAAATTCGCATTCCCTCGGTAATTATTTTATGTGTAAGTGTAGTTTGTTGTTTAATGGGGTTGTAGTCCCCGCTCCGCACCCCTCCAGTGTATATATATACCGGAAGTTGGTTTTTCCTAGTGTGCTCCTCAGGTTGGCTCACCCTTCCTCTCTGTGTGTGTTATAGGGCCCAACGTGAAGGCTGTGGCTACTGCTGTGGAACAGATTTACCCATTTGTGTTTGAAAGCAGGAAAGAAATTTTATAACTCATCACTTAATTGGTTAGAATCTCTAACTGAGCACCTTTAAAGCCTGCTGCACATTGGACTCAAAATAAAAGGAAAACTGGACCAACAGTAATTGAGGAAAGAGACTCTTTTTATTCACTCGTGGCTACAGTGTAAGCTCCAGTCCCTTTGGATTTTATTTCAAACTTTGCTGTAATATAAAAAGGAAGTTTACAAGACATGACATTGCTGCTTTTAAAAAAGGACATTCTATTTATTTTCGCAGTAATTCTCATGTCCCATAAGCAGAGCTGTCACAATGTGCACTACCTTAAATTGTTTTATTGTTGTCATTGTTATTTTTTTTCCAGTTTGAGCTAATGTGTTTTATTTGTGAATAGTCTTTTACATTTTTGTATGCTGAATATGGGCACCAAAGAACCTGTAAAAGTTATCTTTTTCAATTGAATGTGCACAAATAAAAGTTTGGAAAAGATCTCTCTTCATAGCCATTCTGTAAGTTTTATTCCCCATTTTCTATCTTCAAAAAATTGTATTCATAATTCTTCTGTTTTCTTTTTAATCTATGCAAGCTTAGACTTTGGCTGAAGTGTGTTGGCTTATTTTTGAAGTGTGTTTTACAGATAATGTATATACTGTGTGTGTATAGTATCTTTTCATGCTCTGTTACCAAATATCAAATAGGAATTTTTTTCTTGCAGATTTAGGAATAAAAACATGTATATAAATTCTAGGGAACTTGGGTAGAACTTTATAGATAAAGGATGTTTTATGTTGCTAATTAAATATGGTAGGAAAAGATAACTTTTAAAAGTTAAGAAATTATAGTTTTGAAACAGAAACTTCTTACCCCCTAGATGGAGAGCGATGCTGAGATGGGCTCCACCTCTCACGTACCTGAGTTATTCTGGAAGGACTCAGCTCTAGATGTAGGACGTGATTGAGGTTCTGAGCCTATTCATTTCAGGATGTTACTCAAGGCTATTCTAAATTTCTTCAGAGGTCGATAACATTGTGCTGTTTTCAGAAGAAGTGCCCCCAAGCTGCCTCTGTGCCACAGGATAATTATAGTTCAGCTTGGACTTGAAAGCCATTTTGCAAGATATGTCTTTCCCCTCTGTGTTTTATGTAATGGAGCTAAAGAGTGACTTCAGTACACAAGATTGCTCCTCTTAACGTTTTAACAGATGAACATTTATGAGACAGGGTCCTAGCCTACAGGGCTTGGAAATGGTAATGCCGGATCAGTCCACAAACTCACACCTATGGGTGCAGCATAGCTAGTCCTGATTTTATCTAGAAATAAGCTGGGTGTAGAGTCACAGTCTCCTCTCAATGGAAACATAATAGAAACAGTATTTCTTATGAAAACTTGCAACACCTGAGCCTCCGTGGTTAGTATATTTTTTTGTACCATACACCATATTATAAAATCTTGAAAAGCTAACTTAAGCACTGACACTGAAGAGTACATACTATTTTTTGTTTTCTTCCTTCTCAAAAGCCTTCCCCTACCCTGCTTCTCCCCTATAAATAGGGAGGGAAAGGCCATTATACATTTTTATGAAAGATTTGTGTGATTTTTAAACTTTAATTTTTTACATTTGTGCTTTTTAGTTATCAGTAGCATAGCTAAACCTCTAAATAGAGAATAAACTTAGATGAAAGCTACAAGCAGACCTTTTTAAAGTTTTGAGATGTTTCCATTTAGTTAATTAACAGTAATAAGTGAGTCTCTATTTTGCAGTACACACACACACACACACACACACACACGGAAATACAGGAGAGAAAAATGTAATTGTATAGCCAAGGTGCAGATCCAGATGCATTTCTTTTGAGTGTTCAGATGACTTGGAAACCAGGCAGATCAGAAGTTTTGGAAATGCCTGTCAGGGTCTGGATGCGGGGCAGCTGCGTGCTCAACACCTGCCAGTGTCTGTGGGTGGATCCCCTATACGTAACAAAGCTAGGACAGAGTGTATCTGATGTCTTCTGGTTTTTCACAAGTACTGTACATTTTTTAATAAATAAAAACTGTGAATATATGCATACAAATTATAAGTATCTCCCCTTTTTATTTTTGAAAACCATAACAGTTTATTTGGCGGGGGGCAGGATGGGGGGGCAGGGAAGGGGCAGGTGGGTATTGGGTTATCTTGAAGACAACAAAATTGTTGAGTTACAGACAGGATAAGAAAAGGAGAATAGGAGAGAATGCTGGCAACACTGAAGTTGAAGTCTAGTAGTAAACTAGCTTGGTTATTTCCTGCACATTTGCAATGAATAGCCAAACCAGAAAATCACCAAAGGTTATGTAGTGTCTGAACTTGAACTGTGCAACAGTTTTTAAAACTATCTGATGTTTAACCAAATCAAAAAGTTCATGTTAATAACCTGTTTTGGGTTTTTAAGACTCTTGGCATGTAATTCCACCAGATGGCATGCTAAATTAAATTGATCCTTACAGAATGCACTTTCCCTTCACTTTCCAAAACAAAATACATGGCATCCTCTTAATTGCGTATGAAACATACCACGATAGAAATGAAACTTCCGGTCTTCCCTTGTGGCTTCTTCTGCCAGCTTTAGATGACATGTTTCAGAAGTAAGACAGTCATGCTCCTTAGTCATAGCTAATTTCCATTTTACTGTTGCTTACATAGATTTATAGTCTTCTTACTTAAAGGGGAGCAAGATCATGAACCCTTCTGCCAATGGTGGGGACTAGTAGGAAAATTACAACTTAAATAACAAAGGAGTTTAGCCTTTGGCTTCTCTTTTCTTTAGGTTAATCATAATTTTTAAAAAGTTATTTTCAAGCTCTATCATCTGTGCTTTTCAAGCTTTTGTGTTTCTATAGCTTATATTGGTAAAATTCCCTATCAGATCTTTAAAGTTTTAACTAAAGAAATACAGGACAGAGCATTCCATTGTATGGGTAAAAGCCAAGTTGCTGATGTAGGTTGGCTCTTTCTTCACAACGAACATAGGAAAGAAATTGTCCTAATGTCTGAATGTCATTTATTAAATCTGCATTTATCTATAAATCAGCATTGATTGTAGCCTGTGTGCCGTAATCTGAGGTAGTTTCTATTCCTGAGCAGTGAGAAGAATTGCAGGAAATTGAATTACTATAAGCCATCATGAAAAGCATCCAGGAAGAGAATAGGTGACTTAATAACAAACATAGTTGTTCAGAGATTTAGATAAATTGCCAACTTTTTGATGCTTTATTAACAGCTGCTTCTAAATAATATGGTCCCCAGATTTTGAAATTGACCTTTCTAATTACTAAAAAATATAAAATAAAAATGGAAAAAAATGCTTATTTTTCTCAATCTTACAGAAGCATTTCTGTAAATGTTTTATAATACAAAATTCATAAAGGTTTTCCATTAAATTGCACTTCATAATTTGTCAAATAAACTGCATAGTTTTTCTACTTGTGGACTAGGAATTATCACTAAAATCCTAGCCAAAACCCTATCCTAATCTAGAACATAGGTGCAATTAAATTGTCCTTATTATGTGTTCTGGGCTTTTTTTTTTTTTTTTTTTTAATATGAGACCCAGGTAAGTGTATCTTAGTAGGAAAAGATGAATGGTAAAGTGACTGGCCTTCATATATACATACATATGTATGTATATATGTAATGTTTGTTGTTTTTTGTTTTTTTTTAAAAAGGTAGATCTCAACACTAGGACCTGGTCTTTCAAAGACTGCTCTGTGAAAAAGCAGAAAGTGTTGAGTCTGTTGGTTTTGTGTGTGTGTGTGTGTGTGTGTGTGTATGTATGTGTGTGTGTGTGTGTGTGTGTGTGTAACCTAATACCTTGTTCATAATTAAATATTGCTTAGGTCCTTATAAGTCATCTATCTCTTGTAGTTCCTTACAGGGAAAAGCAGTTAAATATTGGGTATGTTTATAATGTCAGTGTGTCTCTTAAAAACAGTTCCTGGAAGAAAGGCATGGGCGTGACCCATGTGTGTTGGTACAGAGACACTCCACAAATATTGTAGTGTTCTTGTGCTGTGTCCGCATGTGTAAGGTCTTGAGGCTGTCAGGGGTCTAGAGAAAGCTGCCGTGGCTCTTCGCTCCCACACAGCTTTTTACACTCTGGGATCTGCTCCTGGGGTTTTCTTTTTTGAAGCTGTGTTGGCACTAACTCTTCTTTGTGATGACTCATAAAGCAAATGTTGTTTTTCACATAGTTCCTGAGAGAAAGAAACACTAATGAAAATGTCGTTCTTAGTTTACTTGAAGACAAATGTGTGGGCTATTATTTTAAAACCCACCCAGGGATTTTAATGTTTTAGCTGTGATAAATGTATCCTGAAATTCAGTCTATATCACAAACATTTGGTCATGCAAAGGATAAGTTGGGTTGTATCCTCAACACAACCATCCTTCTGCAGACCAGGACTTCCAAAGGTAGCATTACATACTAGTAGAGAGTTCATCCCAAATCCTATTTCATTGTCTTTGGTTTTTCTAACTCAACCAGTATGCCTGTTAATTATGTCTGCATGTTTTTGCCTTCTTGCATTTACCCCAGCCTCCTGCATTAATACATTGTTTCTTAGAGGTTGATTCCATCAGCATAAAAATAGGATACAGCACTTAGCTTTTATTTTTTTAAAAAATTAGAGAAGGGAGCCACCTTTGAAATTCCCTCCTATTTAAATCTTTTTTTGTACCTTAACCAATGAACCAAGTGACTGTCACATTAAGGTAGTATGGGTGGGGTGGCTGAAGGCTTGTTTTCAAGGAGAGAAACAGCATGACATTTTAAGTAGTAAAAGTGCTAGTGAGGAAAGTAAGCAGGGAAAGGGAAAATGAATGACTTGGTTGGGAAGGATTGTATTACAGTTGACACCCGCTAAAGAGACATTTGATCCCAAAGTGGAACATAGAAGGAAACCATGTGCAGAATTCCAGAGAACTGAAACTGGGGACAGGTAAATAGGTTGGTCCTTGGAATTTGAAGTCTTCAGGGCTGTATTTTTGGAGGATGGGGAGTACTTCATCTTTGTATATTTGTGTGTGTTCATAATCCTACAGCAGGTGGGAATGGATGGCATAATCATTGTACAAATAGAAAGCATTGGCTTATGTACCAAAGCAGAATATGTGTATAGATGTGGGTAGGTTAGATCTTGTGGCGGGAGGGCTGAGCGGGTTCCATTAGTGTTCTCTCAGTGAACTAAAGTCACCCACAGAAAAAGTGGGAGGTGGTGCTAGAAGCTTGAGAGAGTAGAGATGTGAAGTCACCATGCCATGCTGGAAAGCCAACTCCAGAGAACTGCAATAGCTTGCAAGTCTGCCATAAAGATCTACCTGCAATTTATGTTCACAAATGTAAAACAAGGCTGTCAGCATAGTGTATATTTTCTTTAGGCATACTAGCTCCTTAGAGGGATGAAAGTTGATAGAGTCAGAGTGGTGTTTTGTGTGAATGACTGGGAAAGCATGA